TGTGCTTCTGATGCCGCTTGTGCTTACGGTGTTCGTGTGGAGCACCGTATTGATGGTGGGTTGCTGAACATCCGTCGTTTCGGCGCGAGAACTCTAGTCTGTGAGACAACCATGCGTATGTTGCTGTTAGCTGACGACTGTGCGTTGTTTTCACACAGCGCGGATGAGTTACAGCACTTGGCTAGTGCTCTGGCTTTGACAGCGGCAAAATTCGGGCTCACCATCAACACAAGAAAAACTGTCTGTCTCTCTCAGCCTTCACCAGAGGTGTGCTCTTCAATACCCGCGAAGCAGCATTGGTGCTGAAGTGTTGGAAATTACCTCCCGATTTTGCTACCTTGGGCGCGTGATGTCGACAGATCAGCAGTTACACAGTGAGCTGCGTATTCGCGTGTCGAAGGCAGCAGCGGCATTCGGGAAGCTTGAGTACCGAGTGTGGAACAACCAGCAGCTTACCATTGGCACGAAGCTGATGGTGTACAAATCCATGGTGCTGTCCGTTCTTCTATACGGCAGTGAAACATAGACGATGTACCGGCGGGATGTGCGATATCTCGAGCGGTTCCATCAGCAGTGTCTGCGACGGATTTTACGCATCAGTTGGGGCGCCAGAGTTGCTAACACGGAAGTGTTACGACAAAGTGGGATGTACGCAGTGGACTGCATACTTTTACTGAGACACCTGAGGTGACTCGGTCATGTGTGGCGTATGGATTCGACGCGGATACCGAAGCAGCTATTATATGGTCAGCTGAGTATAGGGAAGCGGCACGTGGGGAAACCAAAGTTAGGTTACCAGGACATGGTTAAAGTGAGCCTCACACGTTGTAATCTTGATCGCAGATCATGGGAATCGAAGGCGGTTGATCGGCGTGTATGGCGCGATCTGATCACGAAGGCAGTTGCCGAGGTGCAAGAGAAAGCCCTCATGCATGCAGAGAAGAAGCGGCAAGTGCGGAAGCGGAAGCACCGATGGGTTGTTCTCCATCGACATCAAGCGCATGCTGTTGTAGAACATGCGGTCGGGAGTGCTTTAGTCAGGCAGGCATAGTGAGCCATGAGCGAGGCCACTCGGGACTACTACCGAAGCGACGACGGGTCCTGCAGAGAACGTAGGCAGAACCGGCGCAGCGTTTGTAGGTACGCTGCATTCGATTTACTAACCGCGTGCTTGCATGCTCAGTCTATTTATTTCAGGTGGTGAGTTTTCAATTTCGTCCTAATGGCTTTCTCATATTAATGTCTAGTGGGCCATGAGCGAGGCCACTCGGGACCACTACAAAAGCTACGAAGGGTCCTGCAGAGAAGTATTCAGAACCGGCGCGACGTTTGTAAGTACGCTGCATTCGATTTACTAACCGCGTGCTTGTATGCTAAGTCGATTTATTTCGGGTGGTGGGTTTTCAATTTTGCCTTAATCCTTTTCTTTCTTATATAAATGTCTACCTGTACTCTATTCCATTCACTTGCACACCTCGCTTAAGCCAATTGTACTGGATTTCCATAACATTTTTGTGTTCGTGGCATTTCCGCAAAGTATACTTTCTGACCTCGTGAACTTACCTCGGATTCGTTGGTAGACAACTTATTTCATATGCTCATCAATTTAAGATTTATGTCACCGTTTCCTTATGCGATATTCGAGTTATTTTCTTGGATATTCTTCTCTTAAATGATTGGCTGTTGCATGATATCCCCGGTGTGGCTGCGCTTGATGTGCATGTTGACAAGATGCCTACCTGTCTATTACCCACTACCTCGTCCACACTGGCTCCAGGAGACAGTTGGTCGTTGCTGGAGGGGACGGGGTGCACGGTCCTTGTGGTCGTGCTAGGCTCAAAGAGTGGTTCCATGCACTCAGTGTGGAGCGGAGTACGGTCCAGCCACCGCCTTGTGTGCGGTTGAGTTACAAATACCGCGTGCTTGTGTTTGCTTGTGAAGGAGTGTGGGCCGATTCCGTTGATGAAACGTGGCTCCCATCCACATGCCTCTCTGTCTTATTCCTTCGGGTTTACATTGGATATGGGATGTGTGGTTGGAGCTGTGGGTGGTGCAGTGCAAGCCACCCATGGTCCCTCTGTAGGCGCAGGCGTCCTGTGGCTGGCCGCAGTGACAGGCAAATCCGAAACCGGATGCCGCCAACCATATATATTCTTGATTCAGTCTATGGTGTCATGTTATGTAACTATAGTGATATTACCATATCCTTCTACCACGACATCGGATACCGGAAGGTTATAATATAAAGTTTTTCAAGCAAAGCGGGTGCGCTATTTTACAGAAAAAACCTTTACGCAATCGTGATCAAAGTGAGCATGAATAACACTGATTCTAAATCTCCTGTGGAACGGAGGTTCTGTCGATTGACAAGTGTAGCTCCCATTGGGTCGGGTTTAGCGAGTTTCCGAGAGACAAAACACACCGATTACAAGTGTGATGAGTAAAAGGTAGCGAGGTGTGTTGACAGAGCTGACATGGAAGAAACAAAGTGAACTGAGTCCCTAGATCTGAAGAAAGGCCCATGTATATCAATAGCATTTGATGTGAGGTCGGTGATAGTTTGTTGTCGAAAAGAGATTTGAGGAGGAGAAGGAACGTAAAAAAGTAAGAGCACCAATGACAGTTCTGAGATATGGGCTATGTTGGATGTTCTCTACTATTAGCATTCGAACCACTACACTGATCTTCGGGAGCAATGGGAAATGCATTGAGCTAGGGTGTGCGACCGCAAAGCACCACTTGGACCTGGGTCAAATGCTGCCTTTAGAGATGCATAGGTAAATGTGCATAAAAATTTTACGATCGCAAACCGTGCATGTGTAACCACAGTCAATCGCATGTGGTTTTGATGGGGCGTCCCTCTTTTGATCACGCGTTGTCTGGCCGGACGCAGGCAGTAACAAACCAGTAAATAGAGGTTGTACTGGATCCCCGCCAGAGAACGATAGTGCCAGGTGTGCCTTGATAGGTACCAATTATTTTCATGGCTGAGTCTAGATGGAAGAAGGCCATCAGTCAAACCCCAACCTGCATGATACGAGTGATTCGGAATGCACGTGAAATATTACAGCTAATGCAGACCAATGGGTCAATAAGTTAGGAAAACTATCGCATCATGTCAATGCTGAGAAAACTGACAGTTAATCATAATTAGTAGGAAGATATAGGACATATGAGTTGTTAAGCTGAAATCAGTGGGTAGGTATAAGATAGTGGCAAGCGTGATGGACCTGCCTATCGCGACGATCGCAGTAACTAGGTACGATGAACTCGGCAAAGACACAAACACGTTGGAATCGCATGACCTTGGTGGACTGCAATACGCATTTGATGCGCAAAAGGGGGAAATGAACTTACTTTGGAAGGTAGAAAATCATTGGCCACCGCCTGTACTCGATATTGATTCGGATCACACTGGTACGTGGTGGCAAGGACTGTGCATAATTCGCCCAGCTCGGATTCGACTGCGACATGAAAAACGCTCTCGCCTGAGGATTTTGTGTGATGCACATCCGCAATCGAGAGGTGCTGCAAAAGAAACAGAGCAGCTGATTCGAGGCGACAACGAACACACGCCATGAGTAGGGTGTCCCCATCAGAAGGTCCATCGGACGGAAGCGGATGCACACTATCCAGATGAAAGCAGTAATTCACATCTGCACCAGCTTTGATCAATTCGGCACTGAATGCGGATGGCGGCGCAGTGGTAGATGCTGAAGGGGGATTAAATATGTGAATGAGTTGAAAGGGAACAATTCAACGGGGGTGCTAGCGGTTGTGAGTGAATATTTGCACGGGGATTGTAAAGCACACGCAGACGCACTACAATAGCACGATGAAGGACAGCAAATGCGGTCAGATACCAAATTATCCTATGGAAAAACTATAAGGAAGTAGATCCTAAGGCGAAATGGCGCAACGCTGTCGTGTCTACTGGACCTAGGATTGCTGGCAGACTGGTAAGTAGTCAGCTAGACCGGATGGAAAGTCACGTGGCATACGTAATTGCAATGTATTCGCCCGAAGCGAAACCAAATAGGGGCTATCAGAACAAGTAACAACTCAAACATGTTGCCCCTCCAACCGGATCAATGCGAACGTTGCTCAGTGAGCACAAAACATGTGTAGGTCGATGAAAGTAATGGACGTTAGGTTAAAAGGAGTGAAAGATATCCCCTCCTGGGTGTGTTAGTGAGAAATATGCAAACGGACTCACCAAGCGAATTCACTGAGCGTAACAGGTTCGAGTGATCTCTGCCGAAATCTACGACCAACGCCAACCACAAAGGTGGTACACCAAGATGATTTGTGGCGTTAAGATCGAATCGCTCCGCTTGATCGATGAACAAATGAAATATGGCCATATTGTGATGCATGATACTCAGATGAAGAGGGCCGCTGAACGAGCAAAAAGGATGTAGGAAACAGAGCAAGTAAGAGGGTTAGCCAGAGGTACAGGGAAGAACGATGCTGGAACTAAAATATTGTCCAATTTAAAAAGCGCAAGCTTTAAACTGTTGACTGGCAGGGTGCAAAGATAACGAGGCATATCACAATGACCTAAGGATAACACGCGAGTGCTGGACCGTTAATATTCGTTGTAAATTCAGAGGTACGCCAGTGTGGAACTCGCATAATCAACGAATACGGTTTTGTGACCCAATCATTTCGTAGCGCGGCGCAAAAAAGACGCTTTTGGATCAGCACAACGGAATGTGGGTCATGAGGTGGGTAGACTAACTCTAACGTTTGCTGATCTGTGTGGCTATCCGGACATATTAGTCCAAAGGAGGATATGCGGATACATCAATGCTCCGGCGCTTGTTTCCAACGTCATCATGACCAGGTCAATGGATTAAGCACAATGACTGAAAGTGTGCACAGCGCAAGCGGGCTGGGGCAATATAAGGGCACTCAAGTTCACGCAGTGGATATGACTCGAACCCAAGAGGTAGGGTTGGCAAGTCAAACACCCGAACCGCTAAACGAGGGACTTTCGCCGCCCCACTCTGGTTGCAGAAGTGACCTGATTTGCGCCGAGTAGGGTGCTCCTACATCAGTGAATAGTCAGAACAAACCATGAACACAATATCACAACAAAAGTAAAAGTGCAAAGCAGAAAAGCAAATTGATTGTATTTCACCGGTTCACTCCAGCTGCTCACGAGCCACATTAGTCTAATTCCAATCCGGAAAAGCGCCAGATAACCGCTTCGCCCTATTGGGGCTCGTCAGTGGTGTGCATTCCATCGGCGCCCTGCTGAGGATCGAATTCATGACCAATAGCAGCATACGCCAACTAGCCAGCAGTTTATGCCACTGACCCATGCGGAACGAAGGCAAATCGTCTGACCTTGCAAGCTAACTGTGATATAGCGCAACCTATCCTCCCCTGCCATGCAGGTTCCTACCAGTGATTGTCTTCGAAGGGAATAGGTGAAAAAATGGTGGAGTAGTGTACACAAAGGAAATTCGAGTAGATCCGGCTTAACCCAAATAAGTCAGGTCACGCATTTGGACTTACGCATGACGCGGATTCTTCGAGTTGTAAGGTATACCAAAGACAATCCTGGAACAACAAAGTTACTTTATTTTCGGATTATTAAAGCGAAACTCAGCGCGCAGTTGATGACGGCTTACTTTCCATCCGCATCTGGCACAGAGACATCAACCATTTTATTCATCAGAGTGTGTACGAGGCGTGCTTCCGACTCGCTCTGCTCGTGATCAGGACCGTTAGCAGCCAACATGTGCAGCAGAGTACGCTGCTTTGGTCCCGCGGATAGATCAACCTATGTGAGCAGAAAACCGAAGGATAATCTTTGATAACATGCGTAATTCATTTAGGTGAAGAGTACGGGCAAGATAAGATGGAAAAAAATTAACAGTAGGAGTTGCCCAATGCAACACCTGACCGAAGTGTGGAAAGAATCGCAATCGTCTTGAAGCGCATGGACATATTAATGTGACCAGCTCATTGCGCTCACAAGTACTCAGAGAGTGAGCTGTAGGGTGTCAAATGTAGTGGAAGACAAGTGCCCAAAAAAGGTGAGTAATTTTATGGCTACCACAGTACTAAGGTGAATCCAGAGCCAACAAATCCACACAAAGTAGCCGGTGCCTCAAACGGCCAGCTATCGCTAAAGAGCTAATTCCAGTGAAACAGTAAAGATCTGCGCACCAAAGCATGGTGGATCAAGTCGCCACGGCTTGCGTCACTAGGATAATGATTGGATACAGTGAAGAATAGAACGCAAGCAGAATACAAAGAAAAGATTCGCAGAAAGAATAAAAAAGTGCATCGCGATGGAGTTGACAATTAGATGTAAAGTGCAAAATTTAAGATTGACAATGAGTGTGTCTGGTCACGGCTTACTGAGGAGCATTGTTTCATTTGCAGGATGTCGGATGATGCAAGCTTCCAGGTGGACAAAAGTTGACTTAGCGACAGAAACTGAAGTTCCATACTGTCACACTAAGTGATGATGGTCCGTCTCGCCTACCACTCACTCTGTGCTTGTTTCGAGACTTTATATGACATGTTCAGCAGTCAGCATCAGTGACGCGTCTGCTGCCGTCTGCTAGTCGAACTGCCTTTTTAACGTGTGTTTGATGCTGAGTTATCTACGGGCTAATGGCTGATTATGACGAGAGGCAGTGAAAGCCGCGAGGAAGCTGTCTCGCCGACGTCGCCTTATCTTCGTACGATAGCCAGCTGTTTATGACTCCACGTTGTTAGTAAAGCGTAGGTGACTTCCTCCTGCCTAGGGTATTTAGGTTTCATACTAGATACTTATTCTTGGAAACCCCTATTCTCCAAGTCATTCTGGTTGTACGACAGCGATGCATCAGTTCAGAAGGGAGATGCACGGATGTCGTTGATAATGGTGAGGAGGAGGATGGTGAAGGTGATGATGATTTTTCTCACCATTGGGTGACACGTGATGACGCTCTGAACCTCCGAAGAGGCCGAAACTGAGTTCAAATGTTCCCTACACGTTGACCTATTTGTATTAGATGGATTTGGAAGCATTAGTTAAGCACAGGGTAGATGGAAAAGGAATCATGGAGATACATAAATTATCGGGCGAGGTCAAGGTCCAGTTTCGTCGTGATGGAGTCAAAATGAAGGTCACAGATGAAGCCAGGGTTTGCATTCCCGTAAACAAAGATGGAGAAAACCATGAATAAACACACATAGACTGATATGGATGTTTCCGGAGATGCTTCCACATCTGTGCATGAAACCAGTCTACTTCGCCGTCTTTCACCAGGATATACAATAGGTTGGAGACAATAAAAACCAGTAAGGAACGACAACCGGAAGACAATGCTTTCGATTTTCCAGGGTGTTTAAAGCAAATATTATTTCTCCACAAGAACTCCAAAAATGTGGGGAAAAACATTTGCGCAAAATAACCTGAATTTGGTTTATTTCGTGTATTCTGATTCAGCCGCTTGCATGTTAAGTTAAAACTTCAAATGAAAGGGAGCAAATGATCACTTCCAGGAGTCGATAATCATTTGTGTCAGTGTGTCTGTAGACAGAACAAGATCGGTCACAAAGTCAAGCTGCTTGCATAGGTTGGGTATCAGACGCCGGATGGTGAAATCCTCGGTACACAAGAGCAGGTTAAGATTACTTCGTTTGCTAATAAAAGTTAATGCTTCGTGAGAGGTTTTTGGCACATCGCGCAGTCAAGCAGGTATCGGCCAATTGAGCTAACAGGGAACTTAGGATACACGGAAGAAATTGAATCCACGTCAGCCTGTTGAAACGTTGTTTCTTCTTGCACTCGACATTCGACAATATCTCCAAATTGTAAGTGGTATATGCATCAAAAAGGTTAACGGAATTGATTCACTTTCTAACGAACGATCATTGATCCACCACACAATAAACCAGACTAAGGAACATCGGCAAAACGCGGGTTTCAGGAGGAACAGTCCAAACTATACCCAAACGTCCGGCTAACGCAGTTGAGCGAAGACAGTTACATGAGGATGTTTGATCTGTAGTCGCAAGTGTGATAGTCCTTCTTGAGACCAAGGTTGTTAAAAGGGTGTCGGTTTCAAAGTGAGCATCGTGCACTAACGCAGGCTGTGTGCCAGATAGTTGATACAATGTGTAATATTGTATTGCTTTCTATACCATCCTCGTGGTGCAAAAACACGCATCCCCAGTGGCAAAGAGCATTCTGGAATTCTATGTCACCCGTAGTAGCGATGATTACATGCGAGCACCCCCAGAGACACTTGCTGACCGGAACCTCGGTCAGTTCCAACGCGGACAAGTTTATCAATGTACGCTAGATTTCTTTCCTTAGACAGCTCCCAACTCCAGGCAAACAAAAACGGATGGTACTTGGTGGAAAACAGAGGTTATGAGCTAATGTCAAATAGTACACACAGGTACCTACCATTAATAATAAAAACGTTCATGGGGGTTATATTACCGATATATAGGGCTAAGCAGCGGACATTTTATGATACAAGGCCACTAAAAACATTGCGGTATGAGTACAGCGTTATCAGGTACTAGTATTTTGAATACACAGACGACTAGAGTAAACACTTGTCACGAGATGAAGAGGTTGAATGCAGGAATACCAACGAAAATGGTAGAAGGGACACTTCAAGGAGGTACATTAGAGTGTTGCTAGATGGATATGGCGCTTCGCAGAAGCCACCAACAACAAAATAATCCCATAGCATAGATCTGAGCGGTAAAAGACGAGCATGCAGCATGACGGCGCTCAAGTGTGTCTAATGCGCCATATACTTGTGGTCATTAGTCACGGTTAAAGACAAAAAATACTCGCTGAAAAGTGCGTTTATAAAACCACACAAATAAACTCAACTGCGCCTCTATCGAGTTTGAAAATCCAACTTCCCAAAATAATGCAATGAATAAAGCTGCCTCACCTCGTATCCGTGATCCACAAGAAACTGGACGCCTACATGTAGACCACAAAGAAGTGCATAGTGCCCAGTGGGTTGCCGGTCGTCATCAGGTCCAGTAAGTAGACTGAGATCAGCACCGTCGCGGAGCAGCTCCTCCGATAAGTCCCAAAGATTATGGCGTAGAGCCAGAAATAAGGGGGATAAGCCGGCGTCGTCCAGTTGGTTGACCATTCGCCATATCTGAAGTGAAAAGCAAAAAATGGCGGACCCGCTCAGATATGCTACCGAAAGGTACTGTCAACCTGCCAATTAACATACGCAGGCGGACGCTCTTATTGGTGTAATAATGTTAACAAGCCTAGTATAAACTATGCCAGAAAACTGACACGAGCAAACAGAGTCAACAACTGACGTTTGAAGGTCACAGTAAGGTAACTAATGGTATAGTGCCATGAGAATGGAAAAGACAAATGCGCTGCGACAAGTGAATTTCGAATCATTTTATTGCGAATGAAGCATCGGAGTGTTGAAAGCTGCAACAGTGAGATAAAGAGAAGGAGCAAACGATAAATGCATACGGAAGGTGTGTGAAACATGTTATAGCAGCCAGGTGAAAGAAAACTAATGGAAGGCAAAAGTAGACATAAAATGTCACACATTTCCGGATTGTGTCATGTAGTGGGTCACTAATTACACTGTGCAACATCATATTTATAACAGAAATGAGATAGGATGTTGCCAGTAGTACTAAGTGAGCTGATCACGAGTATGCAACCGGGTAGTATCTCGCCCACTGACGAACCATGGACTTACAACACGACCATTCACCCGCTGTCTTGCTGCTACCATGCTATCCACTCATGTTACTATGCCAACTGCACAAGCACACGCCACCATTTTACCTACCCTTCCCGTGTACCATTCACACCCATTTTTACCTGATTCCTCTATAACAATCAATCCCACCTACACTGATGAACCTGTTCCTGTGACATCTGCCAACTCAACCACACAGTACTCAACAGAGTGTTGCCGGTCCCAAAGTCGCCCATCTTCGCTCCTGCAACCCGGAACGCAGTTCAAACTTGCAGCCTTTAACGTACGCACATTACTGCCGATCGGTCAGCAAGCTGGAGTTGCACGCACGCTAGAGACCCTTGGAATTGATATCTGCTGCCTGACTGAAACACGACTCCAGGACTCTAACTCGGTCTACCAGCTGGTGTCACCGCTCCACCCACGCACCCGGTTCCATCTCCGCCTCTCTGGTGACGCCGAGTCTGCCGCATCTGGGCAAGCTGGTGTTGGAATCGCCCTCAGTGCTAGAGCCGAGACTGCTTTGATTGATTGGATTTCGATCAATAGCCGCCTTTGTGCGATGAGGCTCCATGGCTCTTGTAAAGTCAGCAGACGTCGAGTCGAAAAGCGTGCTCTCTTCGTGATCTCTGCCTACGCGCCACTGACTGTAGCTCAGACATCGTCAAAGACCAGTTCTACCAGAACCTTCATGAGCTGCTCCTAAGGGCTCCTAAAACAGACATCATTGTTTTGGCAGGTGACTTCAACGCGCGTGTCGGTCGTCTGCTGCCATGTGAGCGCCACCTCGGAGGACCGCATGGATATGATGATGTTCGTTCAGACAATGGAGAGAGACTGCTCAGTCTTTGTGCTGATCATCAACTATTCCTCTCCAGCACCAGCTTTCGTCATCCTGGACGCCAGTACGCCACTTGGCGCCCCCCATCATCAACCCAGCGCTGGTCACAGATCGATCACATAGCTATAAGTCGCAGGTGGCGCGGCAGCGTACGCGATTGCCGATCATTTTGGTCAACATGCGTCGACACCGATCATGCACTGGTGTGTGCGACCGTTTGCATGCGTTTTGGTGGTTCGCCTAGGTCAAGACACACCCGACTAAACGCCTACAAGTTGGAGGACCCAATGGTGAAGAGAGATTATCAACAAAAGCTTCACGAAAAACTCCCTCTCTCTCACACTCTGGATGTTGATCAACACTGGTCAAGTCTCCAGCAAGCCTTGTTGTCGGCCGGTTTGTCCAGCTGTGGCCTCACTCGCTCCACTCCCAAATGCTGGATCTCGGGAAGATCATCAGAATTGCTGGATCGTCGACGGGCGGTGCCTGCCGGCGCAGAGTACAACGAACACCGCCGGTCTATTACGCAACAGCTGAAAGCAAGCCTTCGCTCTGATCGTGAATCCTGGTGGTCAAAACAAGCTGGTGAGATGGAAGCCGCTGCATCAGCTGGAAACTTCCGCCGCCTGCTTTACATCATCAGGGCCACTGGTTGCAATTTCCACGCTATCAGCCAGACGATTTGCGAGGCAGACGGCAGGAAGATCACCAACCTTCACAGACGATTGGGTCGCTGGTCAGAGCATTTCGCCCTTCAATTCAACCACCCAACACAGTCCCCTGCGACACCTCCACCCCCAATGTATGATGCTTGGCCTGTCTCCACAGCCCCTCCAAATGAAGCAGAGATTCGAAATGTAGTCCAATCTTTGAAACGCCACAAAGCTTCGGGCCCAGACAACCTACCACCAGCACTATTCAAAGATGGTGGGAGTTTACTTATCAGCGAAATCCTATCGCTGTTCACGAAAGTTTGGACTGAGGAGAAGGTTCCGAGCTCATGGGGAGAATCGGTCATTGTCCCGATTTACAAGAAGGGTTACCACGCCGATTGCTGCAACCACCGCGGAATCTCCCTAATCTCTGTCGCATCCAAAATCTTCGTGTCGGTCCTACTTAGCAGGCTTTCAACGACTAGAGAGGAGTTCTCCCGAGAAGAAGCCGGATTTCGTCCAGGCCGCGGCTGCATCGACCAAATCTTCACGCTTCGGCAAGTTCTCGAACTTCGTCACATCCACCGGCGGCCAACAATTGTAGTGTTTTTAGACATCCGAGCGGCATTTGATTCAGTAGATAGATCTGCGTTGTGGAACTTTTTACTGAAGAAAGGTGTGCCCGACAAGTTTGTAACCATCCTGAAAGCACTTTACAGTCACACGTCGGGCAAAGTTAGGGCTTACGGCACGCACTCCTCTTCATTCGCTGTGACCAGCGGTGTTCGCCAAGGTTGCCCTATTTCACCTTTCCTCTTCAATTTCGCCATCGACGATGTTCTACAAAGAGCACTGGAAGGTGTCCAGGACTGCGGTGTTGAGCTTCTCCCTGGAGAAAGAGTCACGGACTTGGACTACGCCGATGATATCGCATTGCTGGGGGACGACCCACAATCCGTCCAGAATGCTCTGGACCGCTTGGCGATGGAGGCATCTAAGTACGGCCTATGCTTCACTCCGGGAAAATGTAAAACGCTGCTCCAGGATTGGCAGGTGCCTGAACCCGCGCTCACCATTGCTGGACATGTTCTGGAGCAAGTCCCTTGCTTTACCTACCTAGAGAGTTGCATCACGGCTGGTGGCGGTGTTGGAGATGAAGTCTCACAACGGATTGCAAAGGCCCGCCTTGCATTCATCAAACTGAGACATCTATGGCGTCGTCGTGATGTCAGTCTCAAGCTCAAGGGCAGGGTGTACAATGCTTCCGTCCGTGCAGTACTCTTGTACGGCTGTGAGACTTGGCCCATTCGCTCGGAAGAAATGAACCGGCAGTCAGTCTTCGACAATCGTTGTCTACGAAGGATTGCTCGGGTGTGGTGGCAACACCACGTAAGCAATGCAGAGGTCCGAGACCAAGTGCTTGGAGCGAGTAGTGTCAGTCTTCCGAACGTTATTCTCCGACATCGCATGCGTTGACTCAAAAACGTTTTGCGCATGCTAGCCCATTGCGTTCCACGTCAAGCGCTATTCGCACTCCCAGGGAGCGATTGGAAAAAGTGCCGCGGTAGACAGCCGATGACGTGGAGAAGGAGTATGAAGAAGGCGACCTCAAGTTTGGCAGCAGTCGGACCAGTCCGCCTTCCAGGTTGGGGACCACGAGATGCTGAATTGCAGTGGTTGGAAACACTGGACGTCATGGCCCGCAACAGACATCAGTGGCGGCAATGTTGTTCCGCAATTTCACCATCCCTTTGATACACATACAAACTCACAAAACAAAACAAAAACAAAATGGCGTGTGTAAAACCACAAAAAAATCGTTTCCCACATTTTTTAAATCGCATTAGTGTTCCCATCTTCTTCACATTTTTCTTCTGCCGTGGTTCTGATGGCACAATGTCTGTTAACAGACTGTGAATAAATATATGCAAACCAATAATTTTTATCACGTCCGGTATTTGTTTAATCTATTTTTCATCTCAGCTAAGAAGTGCGTTCGACGCATCGAATGCTCGCCTGTGATTGATCCATTGGCTCTCTGTAATCGTGAAAAAGAAGTTCTCTTGGATATAGTATCCACCTGATACTGAAAGTCAATTGAGAGATTTGTTTCTTTAACTGATATCTTGATCATGACTCAAAGACACTTCAGTGTCAATGACCGAAATCAGTTTTGTTATGTCGGTGGACAGTCGCAGTGGAGACCCATTTCGTCACTACTGTAGTCTGCACACCACGCATATTTCGGGTTGCAACCGGGAGATCAGGATAAGCAGTGAGCACCGCATATGGTTTGTGTGTGTGTCGTGCAATATTCATCTGACTCAGTGGCTCAAAGGCAACGGCAACAAGTCATTTGCAATCTTAATGGTGTAGAGGGAGCCGAAAGAGCAAACGACAGACTGCCACTTCTACCTAATTACTATAATTGGATTCTACAACCGAAACAAGGACAAAATTCATTACCCCGATCTTCCATCAGCTATTCGACCGGTTCTTCATGATTGCATCCTTACTCATTCCAGTGTCTCCAGTGAACATATCACTGATGATGAGTAGTGATTTCGCATCGTCAAGTTCCCCTGATTCTGACATCTGTGAAAATTTTGAAGCTGATGTTGTCAACCCATATATTAGTGAACAACCAGAGCTGCATGACTTGGTACGTGATCTGGGCTTGCCAAGGCAGAGTTGTTGGCATCTCGCCTGCAGCAATGACACTTATTTGCTGTAAACACTAAGGTTACTGTATACGGAACGCGAATCGTTAAATTGTCCGGTTTCTATGACAAGAGAGAAACTAGTTGTAACTGTTCTCACGTGGAAGCACCAATGAAGGCATATCGGTGATGAATGGCGTTTGTTCATTGACTTGTCCAAGAGTAGCCTTAAAGCCATACTGCTCCACAATGAAAATGTGTATCCAACTG